CCAGCTAATAAACCTCTTTCAACCACTGCCACACAAATTTTGTTAGTTACCTCTCCATTACCTGCATTTTGGAGGAACAGCCCTTCACCTCCCAGTCCTACTGCCAGCCTTGATAACACCTGTGCTGAGATCAGTCCCAGCAGTCCCTCCCACAGCCACCATCAGCCCTCCCTCACTATTCAGTGAGAACAACACAGGACACCTGAGATGGCACAGGACTGGGAAGGCTCTTTAGCTTGAGCCTCGACCCCACTCCTCATCTATACCTTGAAAACCACCTCAGATCTGCTAAGAGCCTTTGAGCATGTTGCAAGCCACAGTGAGTTTCCTCTACTGCAATTACACTGCCAAAGAAGTCAAGACCTTTTCTTCTATAAATCACATAAACTCATACAAGCTACAAATGTAGAGGTATTCCATTCCCCCCATATCATCTCTGCTCCTTCTATTTCAGTAGCACAACAGTTAGAGAATATCTCATGACCCTATCAAGCCCTGAGAGAAGTCATCAGTGGAACTACAGAAGACATTCCTTACCACATGAATGCATATTTTTCAGTGTGGATGTCTATCTTGCACACATGGGAAGATAGAAAGGTCTTCAGGAAAAAACCAAACAAACCTGTGCCACAACAAGGATTCACAGTACTGTGTATTTAGGCCACCAGTAAAGTATCACAGAATAAGCAGAGAAAATCTACAGCCACTACTTTTGCAGTTCTCCTTCACAGAACCGTATTTTAATCGCAAAGCAAGTAAAGATGTATTTGAAAAAACATTCCACATTCTGTTTGTTCTTAAAAATCTCTTTTACAACAAGAAGCATTAAATATATGCCTACTGGTCTTCCCAATACCCATCCAGCCCAGTGTTCTACTTTCAACAGCAGCAATATGAGACATCACTTAGGGAGTAAGTCAAAGCCTACACCACTGCCTGGGGTCACTTCTCTTGTACTCTTTCAATACCCAAAGACATACAAACATACAAGGGGAGGGACAATGATCCAGGGACATGATCACCTCTGCAGAACAGAAGGAAACGAAGAGGACAATGGCACAGAAAGCAATCTGAATATCCCAGACTCACAACCCCAGCTTGCTGTGAACCACTTCCACAGAATCCCAGTCTGAAAACGCCTCTTTCCCTACAGTTTGAAAGCCTCTACAAGTTCCCCATTCAGTCCCAGAAAGAACTGAAACTCTTCAGCAGACACATGTGCACAACAGGCAAGAACCTCCATACACCTGCCCAACAGGCAGGACAGGCACATTTTCCCCATGTGCTTCCCTACTGTCAAATGACTCTCAGGTAGCATCCAAAACCTGCTTAAGGGCACATAACCCTAAATCCAGTCTTGCAGGGTTCCAGTATCCCTCATCTACTACATGTAGCCTCCAGACAGGAAGATGTTTTTTCTCAATGTGACCTAGTTAGAAAAACTAGTTGAAATACCCTGATATTTACAATTAACTCAGGGTTGTGATACTTCAGAAATAAATTAAGTTTATTCCACAATCCAGATAATTTCTAAATACCAACTTTATTCAATTAAATCCCTTACGAACAAAACACATTAGATTACATGTTTTTGTTAGACTGTAGAATCCACATATCATATATAAGGAAAAATGTCTTTAGAATATATTCAATTATGTGCAGATTATTGTAAGAAATAGATAAAAATTCAAGATATAAAGAAACCTTGAATAAGACATAAAAAAACCTTGGATAAGACAGTAAAAATCCTTGGATAAGACATAAAAAACCCTTGTTTACTCCTGAGTTTTCTGCCTTAGAAATGTGCAAATATTCAACTGCAGTTTTGTATTTCTAAAAGCCCTACATCAGATTACAGGTAACTGAAACCATCCTTTCAGGATACTATGAGAAAGTGCAGACTTAAGCAAGCCAAAGAGTAGAAAAGATGTTTTTCCTAGTCTTTTTCACACCTAGTCACATTATTACTTTCCCTTAAATGAGTATTTCCTAAGCAGTGGTTGACTGCTTGGTGCCAACTCATCACTTCTAACAGAATGAGTTTAAAAAGGATTTTTTTTCTGATGGTACATCATTAGCATCGTCACAGCAGCGTTCATTACGCATGGAAGGGTCCCTGAAAACACTAAATGTTCCACATTACTCTAAATTCTGCCTCAAGTATTCTACACAGTTCACATTTTAGAGTTCTGGTACAGATTTCGAGACTATAGAGACAGCTGCACCACTGGAACTGTGCTAAGTGGGAGGTTATTGATGAAAGGAGCTGAGGAGAGAACTGCAGTGCTCAATGAAGGTAATGCATTCACACATCAAAAAAACCCTGTTCTTCCCAAGCTATCTGTCAAATGGAGAAGTTGATTTTTACTTTGTGAAGGCAGTCTAACAGGTGCCACATGGCTGGACAGCAATGACTAACCAGGAAACAAGTGACTACCTTTTACTGAGCAGAGATTCTCAACAAAACCAAACCAAACCAATAAACAAAAAAACCTCCAAACAAAAAAAAGCAACACTTCACCAGTCTTTCCACCAAAATAGTAATTAAGATCAGGTACATGGAAAATTCGTTCCATCATACTCATATTTGCAGTGGATGACTCCATAATGCAAGAGCACTGATGACACACATGTCCAATGCAGTCTGCTACAAGAGTACAAGAGCAGCTCTCCAGCTGGGTCTTATCCTCTATACATTTTCACCATTCAGACAGTCTCAAACACCTGTCACATTTTCAAAAACTCCTTTCTGCACAGGTTTTCCTTTCCTCCTCCTTAAACAGGTAGAGCAGAAGCTGGAGCACACCACCACAGCTCCCAGCTGCAGACACAGGGTGCTGGGCCCCCTTTGCAAAGTCAAACCCAGCACTGCTTCCTGCTGACAGCCCTGGGTGCAGCCCTAGAGCAAGGCCAAACAAAGCAGCATCAAGACTGCAGGATGTCAAGGAAACTTCTCAAAGTTGGAAGTCTGTAAAGAAGCCCGAAGAACTTATCGTAACAACTAATTTCTGATATTTAAAAAAGCCAATCATAAAGAGAACTAGAACTCTTCACAAACACAGAACTTCGTTTTCCCTACCGGGGGTCATTGTTCAGCCCTCCGAAGCACACCGTCACTTACAGAACTCACACGGGCAAAGGGAAACAGCACGTTTCAAGATACCAATACCTCTCAAAAGCTCTTTTTAGGGATCTCCACCCAAGCGTTGCACTGAGCCATACTAGAAATACACCAAAGAAATGCTAAAGAGTGTTTAAACACAGTATACAAAGCCCAAATTCCCACAGCCTGAGACAGAATTAAGCTGATGATCCTCAACCAAGATTATGCCCTCAGTGTATATTTTCATACACCATTTAGGCTTATCAAGAATATTTAGCATCTTCCCGGAGGGGGTAAAAAAAACAAACCAAACCAAAACAAGCAAACCCAAACCCCAACACTTGAGAGGTTACGCACAGCTCAGCATCCCTG